TGAGTCACTGCTCCACTGCACGCTGTTACTGTATCATGGTGTAAGTAAATAGTCTTAAGATGTGACTGGAAAGCTCTTTGAAACTAAACCTGTTTATCTCCTCGGGTATATAGAAAGTTACTGTTACTGATATTGCTCTTGTCTGCATGCAGTGGCTGATCTTGAGCTATGACTTAGTGCCATTAATTTGTTAATAACATTCGTAACTACTTGTCTAACCTTTACCATCAGAATGAACATGGATGTTCAGCATTTCCACCCTAGTTTCCCTCTTGTATATTGATTGCCTATCAGCTGACAATGTTGCTTCATGTAAACAGAGTCCAAACTGCCAGGGACCTGAGGGCACAAGTGGCCCCTAATGGCCTTGCCCGTTCTACACTGAGCCTCTCCCAGCCCTATCCATGGCCCAGCAGCCCCATTTCAATCCAGCCCAGGACTGTCAGCCTCTGCCCCAGCTATGCCTGCCTTGGTAGGATGTTGGACTCCAGCCGTGCCCTGCTGGGCTGGACCTGTGCATTGGTGTCTCAGCTTGACATTGGACCTTCATCCCTGTGAGCCTGCCTGACGTTTGGCTGAACGGGGCTGTCATCTCCAGGCCTGCCCTGTGCACCTTGTTCATGAACTATGGGATGGGGCCATGGATAATGAAGGTTCTGCCGTGCCAGTCATGTTACTGCATTCAACAATCCATCCCTGTAGGAGCAGCCAGCCTTCAGTGCTCCCTGACGAATAACCTAATATTTAAAAGTTGGGAATTGTTGCTGCAATGAGAAAGGAGACAAAATGCGAAACTGAATGGAGTTGAATGCAAATATTAATTTTGCTACCTTGAGCTACTGACACGTACCTAGCTTTCAGCTATGGCTCCCCACAGTCTTGCTAAATCTTTTAAATGCCTAATTTGACAATTTTTCTTCCCCTTTTTGGTACAATCTGAAGGTAACTGCTTCACCTATTGCATTAACACAGAGCAAAGCATAGGCCCTCTGGCATTGCTGGCATCCTCTGCTGATTTCATCTCTCTGTTTTTTTTCCATATCCCACACTCAATAACTAGAGTGGAATCAGTCATCTCAATGTTATGTGCTAAGTCTCAAGTGGAAGTGAGATAAAACTCCTTCAATCAAAATGCTTCTTGTGACGTTCCTGGAACAAAGCTGCAAAGCTCCAGCACCCACCCAAGAGGTGATTTGTTAATATAGATGGAGGTAGAGCAGCAACTCTCTTTATATCCTAGCATATCCTTCACAATCCTTAGGGATCTGATAAAATACCATCTACTTTCTAAAATACTATTTTTTACTTCCTTTAAAAAGGGTAGTCTTGGCTAATGCACACAGAAGAGGGTAAGAATGACAACTTGATGTGGGCAAAAGCACTGTATACAATCCAAAATAACCAGTTGTTAATATAATGGATAGCCAGGGATGGTGCACCTGATTTGGAGATAAAGCCACTATGTGTCTTGGTGTTTAAACTCGGCAGCCCAGCTGTGAAACATACTTGAAATCTCCACTGTCTACTGGGTTTCTAAGGAGCTTTGGAAAGTGTGTGAGAATGAATTAAGGAAAGCTGTTAATTTAAGCTGGAATTCCTGACTAGTAATGCAAGTAGACAGACCCTCAGGTGCCGCCATGAACTCTAATGCTTCCATTAATTCTTTCTTGCACTTCTGTTTTCCTTTTGTTCTTGTCCCCAGTGGAATATTGCAATGCTATTTAGACTGTCCAGCAGTGCCACTTTCCTGAATGGGAACGTGGAGGAGGTGGCTGAAGTGCTCTCAGTTATGACCTTGATACTATGTAATTACTGAAGCTAATACCTGCTTGGTGGTTTTCTTTTTCATGTTGGTTGGTAACATTACTGTCTACTTTTAACCCTTTCACTGTGCTTTTTTCTTAACCTAAGAATGTCTTATTACAGGCAGTGATTCTGGAAGGCACGCAGTTTTATGTTACAAGTAGTAAGTTTGTGAATAACCAAAATTGAACGTAAATGAACACCTTCTAAGTGGTTGCCAAGGATGTGGAGAAACTTGGGAAACTAGTCTTCTAAGAGGCTGTTTAAAAGTGAGCTTTAGACATAAATCTGGAGAAATGTTTGTTTTTGTGATGTCCTGAAAGTAGCCTTGGGATGCGCTTTGATCCTGAAGCTACTTTCAGGACACAGAAGAAACAAACAGCTTTGGGATCAAAACAGATCCCGAGTAAGGAGAATCTTTCTTTCCCTTTGTATTTGCAATTAATTTGAATGCTTTTTAATGCTTAGACTATGATGCCTGTTAGCAGTGTGACTGTCAGCAGCATTGTACTCACACCTCTGAAATAGAATAGTTTGGTTTCATGTGTGATATCAGCCTGAGCTTTTGGTGAAACATTTTAACACAGTCCAAAGCAAACCATGCCTTGTAAACAATTTACATGACTAAGTAGCTTATATGAATGTTAGGACACTTGTATTCAGGCCGATCCCTTCTATCAGGAGTTATAGTAAGTTTGCTACAATAGAATGAGGTAAAAAAGGGTCCCTCAAATACTGGACACTGTGTGGAACAGCTTCTTTCCATGAACACTAGAGAGCCTAGAGCAGGTACATTCATGATATTGCTCTTGCAGTTATATTTCAAGTTAGGTGGAGTGAGTCTTGGTCTTCTTGTGTGAGTGACATTTACTCTCTCTCCTATAGCAGAAGTCCTTTAAATAACAAAAGCACATTTAGACTGGTTTTGATCACCTGAATTTAAAATCAAGCTCTTAAACTTTTTTTTTTTTTTTCCTTCTTCTGTCTCTAAAATTGTAAGTGGGTTTCTGGTCTTTTTTTTTTTTTTTTTTTCCTCTATAGGTGATTATTTTAGAAATGTTTTTAGGATAGAGCATGTAAGATTGTGACTGTCTGTCACGTTCTGAACTACTGAATATTTATAGGTGTCTGTCACTGGAATATGGGCCTGGTTAAGTCTCTTCATTTATTTTTAGTGAACTTTGGGCACTGCAGACACTAGAGTTAATTTAGCAAGTAAGCAAGTGGGCAAATGTGGAAAGAGATTGTGTGCTGCTCATCTTTTCCAATTACATCAGCTATTCTCTCTCATATTTTTAAAACATCATTGCCAGAACAGCAGAGAGAGCCAAAAGTAACAATCTCAGGATATCTTTGACAGTTTAGCAGGAGCCCTGTGGGATTCAGTAGGAGGTTTGCTTTACAAGTGATGGCACAAGTGAAGGAGCTTAGCTCCTTTCAGTGGGAGCCTTTTATTGCTTAGCAGCCTTTAGAATGATGCCTGGGGTTCAGTCTGTCCTCTAAGCAATATCTGGACGTTGTGTTGTAAGGGAGTAGGAGGCACCCACTCCCACCTGCACAAACTGTTCCTGCAAGCCTCAGACTGCTACAACCAGATGGTTAAAGGTGCCTAAACAGGGTAACTGGGGGGTGATGGGTTGGAGAGCTGGGGTGCTAGCCCCAGCATCATGTGTTTGAAACTGCTTAGCCCACTCATGGAGTAACCAGCCTGGGTGAAATTGCTGTGCTGGAGTCCCTGCCACACTGCATGCTCAGACCAAGCTGTGGTATTCCCCTTTCAAAATACAAATGTATATGGTTAGACCTAGAACTACTTCGCCCTCCTTTGGCACCAGCTGGGGGATAATTTTCATGGCTGACTCTCTGGAGCTGGCAGTTAGCTATGCAGGATGCGAATGCACTCTCTTTTCAGGCTTGCCTGCCTCCAACACAAATCCTCTTGCAGACTGTGTAACAAGTCGTTTACAAAAATGCAGCTCTATGGTCTTTTCCTTCTGCTCCTGACAAAGAGAAGTGAGCCCTTCTCTCAGACGGGATGGTTCCCGTGTGACTCAAGACAGTGTCGGGATGGGCTGGGGCATGCTGGGCTTTGCTGATGTAACAGGCTCCCTGCAATTTTCATTCAGATCTGGTTGGCTGAGAGCTGGCAGAAAGCCTCAGATACGCCTCCAACGCAGATGAGGTCATCTCTGCTTTTTTTTTTTTTTTTTTCTTTTTTTCAAAGCTGCTCCAGAAAGTCTGCGGTGTCTGAACATTTAAGGTCATCATGCCAATTTGCACACCACCTTGTATCTCTGCATGCGGGAGCCCATTTCTCCATCTACTACACCCCTTCCCAGCACTATCACAGACCCCTCTCTCCCTTTAGAGGGAGAGGAGGAGCAAAGGGAAGATGAAATTACCGCAGTGGATTTTATAATTGACTCTTGCATCCTGATCAGAGGAAAGCATTTGCTGGAAAGATGTTGCAGGACTGCCCAGATCTAACACGAGTGTGAAGTAGCTCCAGGACAGAAGAAACTCCAGACCTTGCCACTAACAGAAGTGAAACTACTCGCCGTGCCCGGTCGCTTCATCCCTTCCCCGCCCTCCCACCGTGTGCCGCGCAGAGATGCATCCAGCCAGCAGAGGAAGGGGTAGGTCTCCCCGGCTGTCAGTCAGCAAGGGCTGCCCGGCCCGGGACGAGCTGATCCCGAAATAAGGACTCGCCCTGGCGGACAGCAGAGCGCTGGGAAGCGCCCGGAACCGCACCGTGCCGGGAAGCGTCGCCCGCTCGGCATCCTCTTCTCTCTGGAGCCGCTGATCCCACGCTACCTCCTTCAGAGAACTGCCTGTTAACTTCGGCGCCGAGGCCGGGTCTGCCCGCCCGGCTGCGGGCAGGATGGCGGCTATACCATCCCCACTCTGCCCTGGGGGCAGCCAGCCCCTTCCTCTTTTTCGTTCCACCGCCGAACCCCGCGCTGGAGCCACTGTGGTACCGTCGCTTCTCCGCATCCTGCCGGGGACGGAGAGCCCGCTCCGGAGCGTTTGAGCGCGGGCCGAGCCCCAGCACCGCGGACAGCTCCCAGCGGACCGGTGCGCCCGGCTCCGTGCCTCGCAGCCGCCGCTCGTTGCGTTCTACAGCCGCGTTGTAGCAGCGCGCTGTTCTGCCGAGGACGCCGAGGCCCCCCCCCCCCCCCAGTCACGGTGCTGCCCACGGCGGTAGAAGAAGGCTTATCTCCGGGCTCGGAGGCTGTCTTCTGTAGATTGGGATTTACGAGCCTGACTGCTGCTTGGTTACACAAGTCTATGGACTCCAAGGTGTGCTACTGAGTTAGAAAGAAATCTGGGATCTGTCACGCTGTGGAAGGGTAAAAGCAACCCTGTAGAGCCAGCAAAACAAGCCCAAACCTTCCTACCTCCCTACAACCAACTTTACCCCCCACCTGCTGACCGTAAGCATTTCTCCTCCTTTCATTCTCCTTCCTTTGGAGGCTGTAGGATGAGGCATTTCCCTCTGTCTGTCTCGGGGTAAAAGGATACCCTAGGGGCAGCAACACACATCTGGCAGGGATTGAAAGGTTTAAATCCAGCCTCCACGGCAATCAACAATGGCCAATGAACCAGTGATTCTGAATGTGTATGATATGGTGAGTACCAAACAGTTTTGATTATGGGGAGCAGTGGGGCTGGGTGGGAGCTTATGCTTGGAGGCAGACATTCTATGAAGAGGAGCCCAGCACAGTTCCTCAGGGAGGATGATATCCACCCTCCTTCAGCAATCTCTTCATCTAGGCATGTCATGTTCTGGCTGTCAGAGATGATGCTGACCATGGCATTTTTCTTTGCAACGTTTAGCATATTGTGCCAAACTACAAGTAAAACTGTACTGGATTTTCTGCAGAATTTTTCAGGAGCAGTAGTGGGTGAGGGGAGGACTTTTTAATTTCCAGTGTCCCAGTTAAGGAAGGACATATGATCACCTCTCTCTTTTTGCAGGAGCCACTTGTCATTTAATTGTGAGAGATCGTGCACTACCAGGCTGTGGAAAGAGGGTTGGGATGTCATCCAGGGATGAGAAACATCTGTGGAATTGTAGTAGGGATGTTGTTTCCAGGTTAATAGTAATCTGAATCAATCCCTTATGCATGAGATCATAGTTAATCATAGTCTCTGAAGGTTAATTGCAGCAGAAGGAGTAAAAAAAAAAAAAAAAAAGTCAGAACTGGTGAAGTTTCAGCATAGGGAGGAGCATAGGGACATGCTCCTTGGAAATATTTTTTGGAAGTTCATAGTGTAGCAAGTTGATTCTCTTGCTCTGTTCTTGTATAGATTGTAATTGGAAACTACCTGTGCTAAAAAATCAGAAAATCTAAATCCTATCCTTGGCACAAAGACCTAAAGAGAAGATGGCTTGGCTCAACCTGTTTTTCTCTCTGACTTAGCACAGGCTTAGGATAAGCATGTTCGGATAAGGAACATTTTGATAGTGATTTACTTCCTCCCTGCATTTGTTAGTGAGCTGAAAGACAATAAATACTTTTCCAGAGAGTAGCCACCAAAGAGCAAAGAGTAGGCTCTGGTAAATGCCAAGCATCTTTTTATTGCAAAAATTAAGTAGTCTTTTGTTGGCTAGAAAAGCTGAGTTATTTCCTCATGGAAGGAGGGTGTGGTAAGGACTGTTTGGGTAGGATTGTGTCTGTAAAAGACAGTCTGAAAAGCACAACTAGAATAACTTGAAGCTGCCTCTACCAGAGCTACTGTAGGCAAAATTGAGCAAGTTGGTGTAAAGTCTTTCCTTAAGACTTTGGTTTTGAATGCTTAATGGTCTATGATTCTATTCTACAGATGCTTGGCAGCTTAAACTGTGAACTTTCCTAAGCTGTTCTTCAAGCAAGGGCTGGTAACCCAAGCATCTGGTGGCAAGTTCTTGGTAATCAGAGGCCAATATTGCAAATGTCAAAGTGTTCCTAGCTAATAATTTGAAGAAGGTAAAGGGGTTGTGTTGCTCTTCTGTTTATGCACTATCTTCCATTTTTTTTTTACTTTGTTCTGCTGCAGGCTGTGGTCTAAAGTTTCTCAGCCACTATTGAGCTGTTCCAAACCAGTGATATTTTTCTACTGAGCTGAAAAAATGTGAATGCTGGACAAACTTTGTCTTTGCGTTTGTTTTTTAATGCCACTGACACTTAAGATGAAGCCCTTAGGAAGCTGGGGAAGAAGAAACTTGCTATTTATGGTCACTGTGTTCTGAGATGGAAACCCAGGCACAGTGAACTGAATTGAGATCATCGGTTTAATTCACAATGACTTTTACTTCCTGGTAAGCCACAAAAACCTTCATGTGTCAGTACTAACTCCATAGGGTTAAGCACAACTTAATACTCTGTACATAGGGACCATTCTATTTTCATGTTGCATCTGTTTGACTACCACTGAGTCACCTCCAGTTCAAATTCTGCATCATGATTATTGAGGCTACATGCTTTTCTATTGCTGCTATGATTTTAACACCATGGAGTTTGGAATGTAGCCATGCAAAATCTGCACTTTGTTACACTGTGGTGGGGAATTGCGGGGGAACTGGGAAATGAGCACATTTGTTTGAATGGCTGTTGGAAAACTAGTCTTGAAGAAAAAAAGACAGCTGGGGTAACAATTAACTGGATGTAAAGCTCCGCTTTCCTGACAAGCATCATGACCCCTGTATGGCATCTGGAAGCACTTACACTGCAGGAAAGCTTACCCTTAGGGCAGAAGTTCAATTATGGGCTTTGTGCAGCCATGAAATACTCACTCCGTGTAGTCTCATGTATTCAAAGATTATAGCCATTTATCCTTTTACCCATTGGATAGTACTAGGCTTGAGAGAGAGGGGGGAAAAAAAAAAAAAATCACAAAACCTTGCACTTAATAAGGTGCTTTGCAGAAATTACTGAAGCAGGTAAATCTATTTATTAGACTTGTTTTTTTTTCAGCATCGAAGAACTGAGCAAAAATCACTGGGTATCCCAAGTGTTCAGAATATCTATACCAAAAGCAATTTCTTAATCCCCCAGTGTCCAGGGTGATTATATCTTATTTACGTGTTGCTAAAGAACTTCTACACGCCTGTACATGCTTGCAAAAAGAGAGGAAGGGAGAGCTTTGCAGGAGTATTTTAAAGAGTATACAGGATGCTGAAGTCTAATTTAAGTGTGCGTGTGAATGCAGAATAATACAGATCAGGGGTTTGGTCATGGATAGATCTCTTTCCCAGTTAGAATCTATCTCTCACATGGACTTAACATAGGCCAGCAGCTGTTTGGAAACCTACCAGAAATAACTGGGTCTGTAAGATCTGTGGCAGTTTGCTCTGATCAGCCCCTTATCACTTTACCTTTGGAAGTATAAATCACCAATTTTCTCTTGATAACTTGCAGCTCCCTTCCCTCCAACTCCCCCTGATAAGCTATTTATTGTAGATTATCTTACTTGGATCACAGGACTGATTTCCTTCAACAAGAATCTCACCCTTTTTTTTTCTGTCTTACTTTGAAATAGTTGACTAAATCATTGTAATATTAATAAATGTCACTTCTTTAAATCAGACACAAGAATGACTGCAGATATTGCCTGGGTTTAAATCTTAAAGCAAACTAGCTAAACATGTTCAACAAAAAATAATCCATTTGGCAGAGATTCAAGCTGGGGGCTCTTGTGATGTTTTCAACTTACTGCACAGCACAGTCATGCTACCAAATTTGAAGAAAATGTATTTATATCACTGCTGTCCTTCTTTTATTGCAGGTATAGTTGTTCTGAATTTCCACTGTCTTTGCAGCTGATAACACACAAAGCTTTCTCTTTGATCTGCTGGCATTTTTGCTTATGCTTTATGCCAGTGAAAATGAGACCCTGAGCTGTTTTGCAGAGAAAAATGGGAGCCCTGGTCAATCGGCAGTGTTGATGTAGCAACTGTTTGGATGAGAAAGATGAGTCTTTTTCTCTTCCTTGTCCCACTTTTATCCCATTGACATTGCTTATCATTCTTAGGTAAATAGCATTCAGGTTATAGTAGGCACAGTAGCTCTGAGATTTCTTCTTGTGACTTCTGACTTTAGAGAAGTACCAAAAAATGTAATGATTTATAATGGCCTTCCCAAAGTCTTCCAGTCCTTTATATCCTATACATCATTTGCTACCTGAAGGGCTGATGGCTGTTAGCAAAGAGCAGCCCTGCAGAAGAGTAAATGGGGTTTCTCTTGCTTCACTGATCAATGGGTGACAGTGTTGTCGTTTTGATTTCTCTATCACACCACTGAATGGACGAGCTGAGTAGCCCTGACAGAAAGACCTCAGGATACCACTGGCCTTCTTGGCCAAAGTGCACATTTTCGGCTCACGGTCAGCCTGTTATCCATCAGGACACCTAGGTCCGTCTCTGCAGAGCTCCTTTCTGTCAGGTCAGTCCCTAACTGATGAATGCAGTTATTCCTTCCCAGGTGTAGAACTTCCTCTTGTTAAGCCTCACAAGGTTTCCCTCTGCCCAACTCTCCAGCCTGTCTGGCGTGTCAGCCAAACTTCCCAGCTTTGTAGTATCAGCAAACTTGCTGAGAGTGCAGTCTATCCCTTCATCCAGGTCACTGGTGAAGATGTTATGTAAGACTGGACCCAGTGTTCCCCCTTGAGAACATTGCTAGCTACAGGCCTCCAGCTAGATTGGCTGCTGATCACAACCCTCTGAGCTCTGCTAGTCAGATATCTCGCTGTCCTCTCATTTGTTCCACACTTCCTAAGTTTATCTATGAGGATGTTGTGGGAGACAGTGTCAATAGCCTTGCTGAAGTCGAGGAATTCTCCTTAGCCAAGGGAAAATTACATTCCGTTCACTGTGACAGTAGAGTAGGCTCTTAGTATTAGCTAAATGGACTGATATCCTATCTGCAAAGTGAGGGCTGAGGAAACACTGTGGAGGTACCAAAATAGCTCCTCACTCTGTGCGAATACAGGTGGATGAGCTGTGATGCTAGATAGTGACAGTACAGTTACTTGGGTACAAGTCCTAGCCTGTACTTCTTGTACCCTCTGTCCTATTGCCAGGGAGTGTGTGTGTCAAGGCAGAGGCTTTGCAAGTGGGTGCCTTCACTACAGAGAGAATGATGGGGGCAGAAGGTGGGGGGCTGACCTAGACTGTCCTTTCTCTGTTAGTGGTATTGCAACGTTTCAGTAGTAGGTAGTAGGTAGTACTCACCTAAGTAGGTAGTAATAGTCTATCATTCTCCTTGGAAGAAGTGAAGTAGTTCTAGCTGTACCACTGGGGAACATGGATCATGCTCTGTATAGCCAGTCAGCTTCTGATCTCCCAGCAGAAGCTGATCAGAAATTGATCGCAGCCTGTGAGCAGATCAGGTGAGGAGAAAAGCTTTGAAGAGGTTGCTTATTTCTGACTTTATAAATGCCTTTCAGCTTTCCTAGGGAGCAAGGCTTGGCAGGATGGTGCTGTATCAGGAAGAGGAAGCAGTTTGGCTCTCTTAATTCCAGGAGGGAGGTAGGGAGGGGATTCTCAGACAAGCAGCTTGTGGTGGGGAAGGCTGCATGTGGTGGTGTTCTACAGCAGACGCTGAGATAGCGTGAGAGTTGGATTTTGTATAATTTATGTGCTCTGAAA